ATGGGATCCTGAGTGGATGTGGATCTACATTTCGATATGTGAGTATGTGTAAGAGCATATCTATCTTTGATAAAATAAAAGGTAGAAAAAGAAAAACAAAGAGCATAAAATTTGCATGCAAAAATGTCCATGATTTATTAATGACATATGAAGATGAAGTAACAACCCTCACAAATGGACCATTGTGCCTCGGGTAAGACACAAGGTTTTAAAGTCTAAATTGTTTAAATATTACAAGTCCGAAAATTTTAAAAGACAATTACTCTTGAATAAAAGTAATAGGGACAAATTCTTTGGCCTCCCAATTGTTGAGTCCTCCGCTGATGGTTGAAAAAATCCACTCGTCCATGTCACAACTGCTATCATTGTCTTCCAATGCATTGACTCCCTGATTGCTGATGCGTAAAATTGGTCCCCCGATGCGAGAACGTCAAACAGCTCTTTGGGCCTCCGCAGTAAAACCCAAACCAAATTTTTTGGATTTGTAGGGAATATTCGAAAGTTGACCCCATATGGTACATCCACCTTTCTCAACTACTACTCTAGCATCCTTCACAGAGGCTATTTTCAATGGGGGTATGGTAACTTTTGGAGTCTTGGTAGCAGTCTTGGTTACCGTAACTGTTTGTGGGACCTCCTTAAAATTCTGACACGGGGTCTCAATGAACTCACCATCTATTTCCACATACCTGAAAGAGTTCAGGTGGCTAACCATGTATTCCTCCTCCCCATGGATTGTGATGATCTTTCCCTTGATCGAGTACTTTAGCATCTGATGTAGGGTGGAAGTGACGACACCGGTGCCATGGATCTAAGGTCGGCCCAATAGACAGGAATAAGAAGGGCGGATATCCATCGCATAGAAATTTGAATCAAAAGTATGAGTTCCAACTTTTATAGGGATGTCAACCTCTCCGTGCATTGTCCTCTTAGAACCATCAAAGGCCCTCACCACAATGTTGCTAGGCTTTAAAGTGAGTCCCTCGCAATATAGCCGGTCAAGAGAATTTTTGGGCAAGACATTCAACGATGAGCCTGTATCCACCAGGACGTGAGCTAATGTAGTGTCCTTGTACTCAATGGAAACATGCAAGGCATCACTGTGTTTCCTTCCTTTGGGAGTTAAATCAGCGTCGGAAAAGCCCAATCTGTTATTAGTGAAACAACCGGCTGAAAATCATCAAACAATGAAGTCGCCATCGAACGTATTTTATCCCACATGTAGGGAAAGGTAAACATCGAGAAAACCCGAGAAGGGAAAAGTCACGGTCTTGCGATCGAGAGATCGGGTAAGGGAGTCTGTTACGTGAGGGGAAGGTATTAGCACCCCACACGCCCGTAGTACTCTACGGTATCCACTCTTGTTGTCTATCTTATGGGTGTGTTTAATCTACGCTTACTTTTTATTACTTCTACTGAAGGGAGAATGCATGCAAAAGAAATGAGAAAAGAATGTAGGGAAAATAAAAGTTGTGCTCGTTCGGGCCCTACCCCGATGCCTACGTATCCCTTTTAAGGAATCAGAGCAGCCGTAGTTCGGCTTATGTGTTTTTATTGGTTTGTATTTTTTTTAATGGACAGTATTAATTTTGCCTTCTGTCGCAACTCGATCTTTGGAGACTTACGCGTCAGCACATAAGTGAATTAACATATTCTTTCTGAAAAGGTTTGGAGAAAATGTGCTTGGGTGCACAAAAGGTTTGAATTTGTTTGTGTTTTAAATGAACGATAGTAATTTATCCTTCTGCCGCAACTCGACCTTTGGAGACTTATGCATCATCACAGAAGTGAATTAACACGCTCTTTCGAAAAGGTTTTGAAAGAAAATGTGCTTAAGCGCACAAAAGGTTTGAATTTGTTTGTGCTTGTAGCAAATGATATTAATTCCTCCTTCTGCCACAACTCGACCTTTGGAGATTTATGCGTCAGCACAGAAGTGAATTAATACGCTCTTTTGAAAAGGTTTTGAAAGAAAGGCCCGAAGGCAACAAGAATTTTGTGTTTGTTGGTGTTTTTGCTTGTGGATAATAGCTAGTTGATCTCAAGGGAGAGGTTTTAGTCATTTCTCCACTTATTCATGAAATGAGTCTTTGGGACTTGAACCATGCCAAAGCTCCGAGTAAGAGAATAATAAGGTCGAGAAGAAACCCACTTATTATCTCCTAAACCTAACAAAGGCAGGATTCTCATCAGTAGTTTTTTTAGTATTTTGAAGTTTGAAAGAAAAAGAAGTTTTTGGTTTTAAATGCATATGCAAAAAGGGAAGAAAAGTCGAAGGGAGACTAGCCTATTTCTAAACCTAAAGTTATTATGCAATGGTGGTCCTAAGATTTGGATGAAAAGGGGAAATATCTACCTAATGTCAGCATGCATATGGTTTGCGATAAAGCCCGGTTTCTCATGATTTCTAGAAAAAGCAGTAAAGTACGAGAATGAGGAATAAAACGAAGTCACAGTGATACCGAGCAGAGAAAGTCCGTTGCTTCTTCGAAACTGCACAAGCGGTCAGAAAACTTTGCCAAAAAGTTGCTCCGTGCGAGTGATCAAAGATTAATCTCCAAATATTCCCAATTGCGAAAAGATTACATCAATATAATATCACAAAATCCTAGCTAAAAAATGACAATGAAAATGATCATCGAACATGAAAATAATAGAAAACTCTAATTAAACATCTAAAGAGAATTTCTAATATCAATAAGAATTTCTACTACTTTTGTATCTCTTTTATCATCAAAGTTATGAGAAGAATATAATAAGGAGAAAAACAATTAAATCTAAAACAGAGGGGTGTTAAAATCTAGGTTAAGTGTGTAGTGTAGCAAGGGTGCTAGGCCTATAGAAGATGGCCCAATGAGCCATTTTTTGTTGAACCAGCTTCAGTTTCCAAAAAAAATAGTGATGATGGGCCTAATGGAATTCGGTCCATTCTCTAACTCCATCTCATCCTTCAGCATAATGTGTTTATTCCTATTAAACAAACAAATGTAATGTCAATAAATATTAAACAAAATTAAAAAAAAAAACAAAGGAATACGGGGTCGTTTTGGGGAAGATTGGTATTAGGGTTGAAAAACAGTGATGTTCTTAATTCCTCATATGGATACAAGCTCTCAGTTCTCTCTTCATCAATAACGTGACGCTCGACTGATAACGCCGATATCTTCTCCTTTGATTGAGTGTCACCCAACGCCGCTATCTTCTCTCACGGATTTTCTCGACATCGCGTCATCGTGAGACGCCACACACCGTCGTGCCGATGCTTTCTCTCATCTTCTTCTCTGATTGCTCCGTCAACAACAAATAACATTCTTCTTCGATCAATCCAATCGATGGCAAACCTAACAGCTCCCGAGTAGTTTCGATGACTCTTCCATAATGTCCAATTCGCAATAAAACCAGAGGCACAATCGGAAGACCAAATAGTAAGTATTCAAACCCTTGTTCTACAATTCTACTCATTCTTCTTCCTCCTTTTTCTACTCGAATTTCTTTCATCTTTTGTGTTGCGTTTTTTTTGCTGCGTTGATAAATGCGTGTTGTTGTCGTTGTTACATCTTCGTGCTTCTGTTGCAAGAGTTGATACTGTTGATGCCGAGAGAATGAGGAAGCATTGAGTCTTGGAGAAGATGAAGTGGATGTAGAATGGTGGAGGGTTGAAGAATTGCTTCATAAAATGTTGAAGATGGTGGAAGAATGAAGCATAGAAATGAGAGGAGTTGTTGATGAAGTACAGATAAAATGTTGCAGAATGAATGGTGAATTCAGAAAGAGGGAGATTGTGGGGAGTGAGATTGTTCAGAGAGAGAGACAAAGAGATGTAGAAGAATTTTCAGAGATTTGGAGAAGATGAATGCTTGTTGAGATTGAAGAATGAAGATGAGAGGAGAAGAGAGAAGGTTGAAGCTGATAAATTATCTACTTTCAGAGAGAACCAAAAGGTGAGCTTTCAAATTTTTCTCTTCCATTTTTCTTTTTTGTTTAATTCTGCTAAAAATGAATCTGAATAATGATCACTTCTTCCTCTCTGAGATTCTTCTCTCAATTTCTCTACCTCTCTCTTCTTTCTTCCGTGATTCTGTTATATATATTTTTGTAGAGTTGAAAAAATAATGAATCTGAATCCCCCTTTCAATTATGAACATATATTCTGTTATATAGCTTGCTGAGAGTTGGTTAGGAGTTTTTTAAGCGGTTAGGAAGTTAGTAAATCTGTTAGAAAGCAGTTAGAAAAGTTTGTTTAGAGTTATGGATTTTCCGTTAGAAATTGGTTATGACAGTTAGGAGTTTGTGAATTTGTTAGAAGTTATGCAGGGCTGTTAGGAAGTTTGTTGGAAGTTTGTTAGGAGTTAGTTAAGAGGCTTAGAAAATCTGTTAGGAGTTAGTTAGAACATTCTGTTATGTTTTCTGTTATAAGTTTGTTAAGATTATGAAATTTAGTTACAGTGCTGTTAGGAGGTTTGTTGGAAGTTGATTAAGTTGTTGGGGGAAATTAGAGGAATTGGTTATTTGCTACTGTTACTTAGAAGTAGTAAGTGAAGGTAGGAACTGTTAGGTTAATAGTTAGTATGGGTAGTTTATTAGTAGTTATGGTTATTTGGTTATGAATGGTGAGCTGCTGGTTATCGGACATTGGTTTTTTCTATTGGATTCAATTGAGCTGGATTCAAGAACTTGTGGTGTAAACAATTCGCTTGCTAACTGCATAACTGTTTTCCTGTTTTCTTCACCTTGAGATTCATTTCCTGATTCTTTTTGGTTTATTGAATTGTACATGGCTGCACATTTCTTGATAAAAGTTTCTGAACTGGTTTTTTGGTCTGATTTTTCTGCAGGGCTGGGATTTTCTTGGTAATGCAGTCAATGTTGAAGATTGATGTTGGAGCCGAGATGAAGAATGTTTGAAGGTTCGTTTATGCTTGTGGATGCTGTGCGATGAGGAGGAGGTTGAAATCGTGGTGGTTCAGTGATGCGCAGTTGTTGCAGAGGCAGATTCGTTGATGAATGAAGATGATGATGCAAGACTCAAGAATTGTTTGCAGAGAATTGATTTAAGAGAGAGTGCAAAGGTTAGTGATAGAGAGAGAATCTGATAAATAAACTCAAAATTGAGAGGTAAGTTTTGAATTTTTTTCTGTTGATTTGTGGATTTTGATTATGAATGAAATTGAAGTTTGAGATATTGTTAGAGATTGAAGAATCAGCGTCAATGGATCAGAAGTTAGTTACAAAAGATGGAAGGCTCAGATCGATTTTTACAAGAGGTAAATTATGTAATGATCTTGATTTGTGTTCTGTTTTCTTTTGTTAGCAGTTTCTGTTATCACTTGTTAGCCGTTAGTTTTGGTTGATGTTTTAGAATTCTATCCTCTGGTGCAGATCCTCCAAAGCATTCTCCTTAAGCAGTCTATGATGTCAACATCTTCCGACGGCGAGTTTTGGAGCAAAAAGTTCAGTATTCCATCGGGAATGGGTGAGGATGGTTCAAATCCTGAAGAGTACTTGCAGAGTCTGTCAATGATTTGACATTAGCGAGTTCTTGCAGCCAGCTAAGTAAAACAGCAGGAGGCTCCGAGTAATTTGCCAACATTTCCGCATCAATGTTTACTTGTTTAATAGAAGAGCGATTGTTTCCACAAAACATCTTCCAAGTAGGCGAGACTCGATGCTACAATTACAAACAAAATCAACAGCCTGCAGTACTATAGAGTTATCGCGAAGAGACAAAATTCTTGACATGAATTTATCGAAACTCTTCAAAGTAGAGAAATCTGAGGAATGCAATGTAAGGATAGGAATATAATTCCAAACATGGTTCCATCTTTTGGACAAAATAGAAGTTTGAACAGAGACTTTGGTGTTCAAAAAAATGATAAAATATGAATGAGAATTGAATCAGACAAGTCACTTAGTTTGTCGAGATCATTCATTCTTCTCTTCTTGATCAGGTAAAACCAAGAGGGTAGTGTGGACGTAATTTGTGGTTTTGACATGAAGTCCAACATTTGGTTATTTGTGGATGCAGGTAATATTGGCAACTAGCGGCATACCGGACAAGAAGAATCTGCCCATTTTGAAATACAGGAACAATGGAAAGAATGATTGCATATGGTTGTAAGAAATCCACTTATGTCTTGATCTAATCGCTCAAGGCAAACTGGACATGTTGGTTGTTCGGTTGAAGGGGCATGAAGATTGAAGAATATATGAAGATGGAGAACTTTGGCATGGCATGGACTTGGAAGTTTACTCATGGAATTTTAGCACCTTTAGGACTAAGGAATTTTGTTCAAGTGCATTTTGTAATAGTTTTTTCTTTGTGGATTATTGGTGCAATGTGATTGTAATGATTTTATAATGAATGTTTGGTTTGGATGAACTTGAAATTTATAGTGTGAATTATAAATGACTTTGAGCTTGTAATTCACTTCAAACCAAGGTAATGCAATATATTCTTTGAATAAAATGTAACTTTGGGAAATCTTGAATCAAATTATCAAGTATTCAAACTATTTTCTTTCCATTTGATTTTGAGTTTCTCGTGAATGAAATGCTTTCCTTTCTTTTTGGGTTTGGTATCCCAAGTACTTCTTTGACTTTATGTTCGTGAAATCCTAATGTCTCGCATTCTATCAATTTGAATAAACTCTCTTGCTTAAATATTTTCAAATGAACGAATCTAAGCTTCTTTAAATCAACTTTAGTGAATACATGCTTAGATTCCTTCATGTACTTAGTACATAACCCGAACTTTCCATATGAAACTTTAGACTTTGATCTTAAAAATATTGAAATGACAATTGAAATTGGATTTGGAGTATAGCTTTGATTCATATCGGGGAATATGACTTCTTTTAAAAAATGATAAAGTTCGAATTTCCCTTCATTATGTTTTAATTTGAATGAATCTTCAAGCATCTAATATTTTCTCCAATTTTCAATCTTGAACCTTGCTTTCGTATTGTTGTATTTCATTTGGATTCTTCAATATTTCTCGGATGAGTTTTGTGATACTTGGTATCTTGGAGATGAAATATGACTTGAATCTTTCTTTCCTTCCAAAAGCTTCTTTTAACCTTTCAAATTTTTCTTCAAATTGCATCCTTTAATATAACACATCATGAGATTGGATACTCTTAGTCAATCAAAGGAACTCAAGTAAGATATTGTCAAAACCTTGGATGCAACTATGACCCAATACACCACGTTCACCTCAAAGCCATGTGTGGGAACCAAAGAGATAACTTGTATGGCCTAAGCAATGTAACATCTTGATTCTCAAGCATCATAGCTAAATGAAAGAATTTATTTGAATCAATGATAAACAAAGATCAAACAGTAAAATGGGCACCAGTATATCCATATTTGTCTTCTGTATGAAGTTTTCGATCACATAGCTCGTGACTTAAGTAATAAGTTCCCCCTTTCGATTTATAGAGAAAGTTCGAAAGAAAACCCTAACTAGTCATTGATGAAGAACCTTTGACTATTAGCCCTGCCAAATTCATCCGACAAACCCAAGCATAGGGAAATAAACCCTAATCAAAGGATGACATTGAGCACAAAAAGATAATGAATGCCTGATTTAGTATCCCTTAGATGACCTTGTAGAACAACTTGGAAATGAATATGGGGGATACAAAAAGAAATGTGACCAAGATGGCCATGACTTAGAAAACCTAATGAACCTCGATTGATGAAATGTTGACAAGCATAAACTTGGTGGAGAAACATTCTGACTCTTGTCTTGAACATATCTGAATGAATAATAACCCCCTTGACTTGAAGAAAATGGAACCCTCAATAAGCATAGGTTGCAACCCTAGTTCCACATTTTGCTGCTTGAAGGATAATCAGAAGAATCAGACTTTATTGGATACAAACACCTTATCTGTTGCGAAACCCTAATATCGCACAGCCACTGAACTTTGAACCTCGAGCGCTTTACTGAATGCAGATGTATGTTAATGACCTAATGGAATATATACAAATGAATGTGATAGTCTAAGCCAAATAGAAGAAATTAGGAGGGAAAATTTTGGGGTGCAACAGCTGCCCGTATTTAATCGCCTTAGACCTGAAGGTGAGATTGGCGCCAGCCTTTCGAACCTTCAAGGTAAAAGAAGATTAAATACTTAAAAGAACCCGAAAATTTGCGCTCCAGAGCCAGTCAGGTATTATTATATTTTTGGTTTTCTGAATCTATTTTATTATTTTATTTTTTTGCTAGGTAAAAGAGGTTATCAGGGTTAGATATATGTTTAACCAGAGCTTGACACACCGAAGGATAACTTAGTTATCAAGGAACATTTGTTGGGACTTGGTAACAAACACCTGTAAGAAAGCTATCAAAAGGTATATGCCTGAAATCTGTAGCGGACATACGAAAAAAGGTATCAGAGACACATATCCAGAGTCGGTAGCGGATACGTATGCAAGAGATATCAAAGATACATATCCGGGGTTGGTAGCGGATACACATAAAAGAGACAGAAAAGATACATATCCGGGGTAAGTAGCGGATACGCACAAAAGAGATAGAAAAGATACATATCCGTGGTCGGTATCGGATATGCACAAAAGAGATAGAAAAGATACATATCTGTGGTCGGTATCGGATATGCACAAAAGAGATAGAAAAGATACATATCCGTGGTCGGTATCGGATACGCACAAAAGAGATAGAAAAGAGACATATCCATGGTCGGTATCGGATACGCACAAAAGAGATAGAAAAGAGACATATCTGTGGTCGGTATCGGATACGCGAGAAAGGGACATCAAAAATACATATTCGTGGTCGGTATCGGATACGTACGAAAGAGATATCAAAAATGCATATTCGTGGTCGGCATCGGATACGTACGAAAGAGATATCAAAGATACATATCCATGGTCGGTATCAGATACGTAAGAAAGAGATATCAAAGATACATATCCGTGGTCGGTATCAGATACGTAAGAAAGAGATATCAAAAATACATATATGTGGTCGGTATCGGATACGTAAGAAAGAGATATCAAAGATACATATCAGTGGTCGGTATCGGATACGTAAGAAAGAGATATCAAAGATACATATCTGTGGTCGGTATCGGATACGTAAGAAAGAGATATCAAAGATACATATCCGTGGTCGGTATCAGATACGTAAGAAAGAGATATCAAAGATACATATCCGTGGTCGGTATCAGATACATAAGAAAGAGATGTCAAAGATATATATCCATGGTCGGTATCGGATACGTAAGAAAGAGATATCAAAGATACATATCCGTGGTCGGTATCGGATACGTAAGAAAGAGATGTCAAAGATACATATCCGTGGTCGATATCGGATACGTAAGAAAGAGATATCAAAAATACATATTCGTGGCCGGTATCGGATATGCACAAAAGAGATAGAAAAGATACATATCCGTGGTCGGTATCGGATACGTAAGAAAGAGATATCAAAGATACATATCTGTGGTTGGTATCGGATACGTAAGAAAGAGATATCAAAGATACATATCCGTGGTCGGTATCGGATACGTAAGAAAGAGATATCAAATATACATATTTGTGGTCGGTATCGGATACGTAAAGAGATATCAAAGATACATATCTGTGGTCGGTATCGGATACGTAAGAAAGAGATATCAAAAATACATATCCGTGGTCGGTATCGGATATGCAAGAAAGAGATAGGCCGAAGAAAGCTCTTACAAAGAAACACTAATCGAAGGCGGACTTACTGAGGAAGGAGACCAAACGAATGGGACTCCCAACAAATGATACTAGCCGAAGGTGGATTTTACGGATGCCAGTCAAAGGTGGACTTTAAGGGCGAAGAAACCAGCCGAAGGGGAATCTTCATCAAAGAATACTATGCCGAAGGTATATTCCTAAGAAAAGAACGCCGGTCAAAGGAGAACTTACAACTGAAAAGAGACCAGCCGAAGGGGACTCTCAAAAAATGATACCAGTCGAAAGTGGATTTTAAGGATGCCAGCCGAAGGTGGACTTTAAGGGCGAAGAAACCAGCCGAAGGGGAATCTTCATCAAGGAATACTATGCCGAAGGTATATTCCTAAGAAAAGAACGTTGGTCAAAGGCGAACTTATAACTGAAAAGAGACCAGCCGAAGGGGACTCTCAACAAATGATACCAGCCGAAGGTGGATTTTAAGGATGCCACTCAAAGGTGGACTTTAACAAAGGATACCAGCCGAAGCAGGATTTTAACGAAGGATACCAGCCGAAGCGGGGTTTTAACAAAAGATACCAGCCGAAGCGAGATTTTAACAAAAGATACCAGCCGAAGCGGGGTTTTAACAAAGGATACCAGCCGAAGTGGGGTTTTAAAGGATACCAGCCGAAGCGGGGTTTTAACAAAGGATACCAGCCGAAGCGGGGTTTTAACAAAAGATACCAGCCGAAGCAGGATTTTAACAAAAGATACCAGCCGAAGCAGGGTTTTAACAAAAGATACCAACTGAAGCGGGATTTTAACAAAAGATACCAGCCGAAGCGGGGTTTTAACAAAGTATACCAGCCGGAGCGGGGTTTTAAAGGATACTAGTCGAAGCGGGGTTTTAACAAAGGATACCAGTCGAAACGGGGTTTTAACAAAAGATACCAGCCGAAGTAGGGTTTTAACAAAGGATACCAGTCGAAGCGGGGTTTTAAAGGATACCAGCCGAAGCAGGGTTTTAACAAAGGGTACCAGCCGAAGCGGGGTTTTAAAGGATACCTGTCGGAGCAGGGTTTTAACAAAGGGTACCAGCCGAAGCGGGGTTTTAAAGGATACCAGCCGAAGCGGGGTTTTAACAAAGGGTAATAGTCGAAGCGGGGTTTTAAAGGATACCTGTCGGAGCAGGGTTTTAACAAAGGGTACCAGCCGAAGCGGGGTTTTAAAAAAGGATACCAGCCGAAGCGGGGTTTTAAACAAATGATAAAGATATGTATGCCTGGTCAGAGTTAGACACACAAGAGCGAAATTGAGCATCAAGAAACAAATGTTTAGAGTTGATAGTGAACACAGGAACGAGACTAACCGAAGAAAGCCCCAACAAAAAGGACGCATTCGCCTAAATAAGGACGCCAGACAACTGGACTTTGAAGAGACACTGAAGGACTCTTAACATAAAAGGTTAGCTAAGCTAACGAAAGGAGGACCCGACTAACGTGGATAAACCAAAACAAGGAACCGACTAAGCAGGACCTTTAAAGAGCACCGATCGAAGGTGAACTCTGCAAGAGAAAGAGACTAATCAAAGCAGACTCTAACGAAGATTACCAAAACGCGTTGGGCTTTCAATAGGTTGTAAATACGCAAGAACCACAAAATCCCTCAGGCC